AGTCTCACCCTCCCACCCTCTCTGTCTCCTCTACACTCCTTCCACCCTGACTGTCTGACTGTACATCAGCTGTACCTGCCTGCACCTCCCGGTACATCAGCTGTACCTCCCTGTACCTCCCTGCACATAAACTACACCTTCCTGTACATGAATTTACACAAAGCACAAATCGAAGATTATAACAGTCCAGAATTTTGTTGCAAGACTGGTCACAGAACACAGAGGACTGAGCTACAAAGAAAATATGACTGAACTAGACTAGGACTAGAAGAGGGCAACAATAGACATGACCACGACATGTAAGATTCTTAAAAGACAGGACTGAAGGACATGAATGGAATCATAACATAATAATAAAGGTCTCGTAGTAGTAAATTCGTCTTGTTTTCGATTCACAATCGTGGATCCCGGGTTCGATTCCCGAGTGGGAGAGAAATGGTTGGGCACATCTCCTCTCATCAAATTAGGCAACTGATGTGGGGGATACATGCTGGGGAGAGTCAGTATAGTTCCAACTCTTAGGGGGTCCTCGATACAAGTTTAAAGTGTGTGTGTGCGGATGTTGAAGCTATTTGTGGGAGACCGTAAGGCGGGGCCCAAAAGCTGAAGCTCGCCATGCATGCAGGCGAATGCTGCATTGACCGAGAGCAGTGAGGGCTCTTGACAACACAAGCGTCAAGGATGAGGCAACACACACTCTTAGGTAATCTGGGAGCCATAAAAAATGCGCCCTGATTTCATTACTCGACTCAGACCCTGACCCGACCCGGGCGATGAGAGGCGCGGCCCGCTGTCCGCTGCCCCGCCCCCACCCACCCCACCCCGGACATTTATCAGTCTCCTGACCAGTCGGCCGGGGTAGCCCTCAGGGACAGTCAACACGGGCACCCAGCTGGGTCAGCCAGTTAGGTCAGCCAGCTGGAGCAGCTAGCTGGGTCAGCCAGCTGGGTCAGCCAGCTCGGTCAGCTAGCTGGGTCAGCCAGCTGGGTCAGCCAGCTCGATCAGCTAGCTGGGTCAGCCAGCTCGGTCAGCCAGCAGGGCAGCCAGCTAGGTCAGCCAGCTGGGTCAGCCAGCAGGACAGCCAGCTAGGTCAGCCAGCTGGGTCAGCCAGCTGGGTCAGCCAGCTGGGTCAGCCAGCTCGGTCAGCTAGCTGGGTCAGCCAGCTCGGTCAGCTAGCTGGGTCAGCCAGCTGGGTCAGCCAGCTGGGTCAGCCAGCTGGGTCAGCCAGCTGGGGCAGGCAAGTAGTGTGTGGCAAACAACTTGGAAAGCAGGTTAGGTTTTTTTTATTATTATTATTTTCTACCACAGACGTGGCCAAACATTTACAATGCTAACCAGCATATATACATTTTCTTCTGTCCTCCATGGACAGGGTTAGAGATGTGTTAAACATATAGTTCAGGGGTTTATTGAACAATCAACCACAGAAGGTTAGTGAGAGTTACTTATATGGACTGAGTGAAGACTAGACACTAAAGGGGTATGTTCGTTTGTGTAGATTCCCTCAGTAAAAGTTAAGGAGCTTATTGAAGAGCTTCCAGTAGTTTTAGTCAGAATAGTAACATGATCGGATGGTTCACAGCTGCGTTTGTGATACTTTACTCAATTGAATTATGTAGACGGAAAATAGCAAGTGACTTAAAACCAGCTTGAGGCTCAAGGACGTCTTGTACTCGACAAATTTACATACATAATACCACTAGCAATCTCTAGGGTTGCTTGTGGGTAGGTAGTGTTGTGTGTTCGAGGTAGGTAGCAGGGGCATCTAGAGGCAGCTGGGGGCACCAGGAGGCAGCTGGGGGCACCAGGAGGCAGCTGGGGGCACCAGGAGGCAGCTGGGGGCACCAGGAGGTAGCAGGGGCATCTAGAGGCAGCTGGGGGCACCAGGAGGCAGCTGGGGGCACCTAGAGGCAGCTGGGGGCACCAGGAGGCAGCTGGGAGCACCAGGGGCACCAGGAGGCAGCTGGGAGCACCAGGGGCACCAGGAGGCACCAGGGGCATCAGGAGGCAGCTGGGAGCACCAGGGGCACCAGGAGGCAGCTGGGGGCACCAGGGGCATCAGGAGGCATATACCTCCGCACTGTGGCGTCCGTTATCCTGATAGTTATTCACACACAGTTGTACAGGTGGGATCTTAGTGTAACTCTGAGGCAGGTTAGAGAGTGTACTCTGCATCAGGCATATTATATCTGGCATATTACATCTGGCATATTACATCTGGCATATTACATCTGGCATATTACTACTACTACTACTATTACTTGGGCGGAGTATGAGTATTTATGACTCGTATGGTCGCTTCAGTAAGATTTTGCCCCATGTGCTTAACAACTTCTTCTGCTCTGTTGAATCTAAGTTGAAATCTTAATGGGTTTGTAACTGTGCACTGTGTTAGATAATGTTCCAGTGGCCTGTCGGGCAATTCTCCACAGTGCTGACATTTCCTCTCATCTTCCGGAACCTGTAAGCCTATTTCCCATGCACATGGGTATCCAAGCTTGATGCGATGTAAGTGTACTTCTGTTGTTCTACTGCTCCCTTTCATATTTCATATATATGCTGTATAGGAAGTTTCCCTGAGTCTCTCCATTTCATTCTGATTGAAGTCGTTTCTTTATTCTCAGTAAGTAAATGAAAGAGTTTTATTAATTATTCCAAGTATTAATTCTTCAAATTTTTCCTTCGTGATGGAGTAAGTATTATTGGAATCTGTTTTCCCTGGGAGTCCATTAACTTCAGTCACATTCGTCAACAGACAGGGGAGTGGTGGCAGTGTTAGATATAAGTATTATTAATCATTAAGGATAGCAACAGGTTGGGTTCTCCCTTAAGCAACTCAATTAAGATAGTGGCCGTACATATGTGGGTCAAAGTGGGCTTTGCCAGCTGTGTTAAGCTGGGGTATAGATCGGGTAGTAATCTGGTGTTACACCCATTTCCTTGATTTATTGCTTCTAGGATCAAGTATTATACAAGGTCAGTTTGTTTTGTTATATATGGCCTTGGTGTTTGAGGGTCAAGCTGGAGGGCCCCGTGCGTGTTCTCCAGGTTCCAGTGGCCCCGTTGAGGGCCCCTGGGATCTTATACAGTGTTCACTGACTGTTCTTCAAAGGATGGGAAGGAGGTATTTGAAATAAAATAACGAGGGCTTTGGACTAGTTTATTGAGGACTAAAGTTTCAGTCAGTAAACACAGCTGCTTGCTGCCAGGTCCTCACTTCTGGTGTGTACTTGCTATCACACACACACACACACACACACACACACACACACACACACACACACACACACACACACACACACACACACACACACACACACACACATACACACACACACACACACACACACACACACACACACACACACACACACACACACACACACACACACACACACACACACACACACACACACACAAACACACACACAAACACACACACAGAGGTGATATGATCATCACTTACAAAATACTAACAAGAATCGTCACATTTACAAAGAGGATTTCCTGAAACCAGCCTTTACAAGACCAAGAGGGCACAGATTCAAGCTAAGGAAACAAAGATGCCGAACAAATATTAGAAAGTTTTCTTTTCCGAACAGAGTGGTAGACGGGTGGAACAAGTTAAGTGAGAACTAAGATGGTGGAGGCCAAAACCGCCAGTAGTTCCAAAGTGATATACGGCAAAGAGTACTGGACAGACGGGAAGTGTTATAATATTAAATACAAATAGTAAATACACACACACACACACACACGGTTATCATAAGTGGAATACAAAGTTCTGAATGATTTCTCACACAAGTTTCTAAAGGCAGTTCTAATGTTGGCCAATCTAGCATATGCCGTTGATGATATCCTATTGATGTGCGTTTGACACAATTAGGTGAGTACTCACTAGCATATCCACCGAAACTAATTCACCAGCACACACACACAACCGCACGTACCCACCATACAGAATATAATATATATAGAACTCTTAATGGAACTATCAGTTTCCAGTTTAAATACGGATCAAGCATCACATGTTCCTTTATTGACTCGATACAACTAACTTTTTTTATTAAGGCACAGATTATTATTACTATATATATATATATATATATATATATATATATATATATATATATATATATATATATATATATATATATATATAAAAAGTAGTTCTAGCTCGGAAACCAGATACCATCGAGGTGAGAAGTAAATGTTATAGCATATCTAGGTGTGTGTGTGTGTGTGTGTGTGTGTGTGTGTGTGTGTGTGTGTGTGTGTGTGTGTGTGTGTGTGTGTGTGTGTGTGTGTCTTACGAGCTAGTAATACTAGTAGCGGACTGGTACACACACTGTGAACGAGACAGTCATGGCACTTTCATTCTCTCTCTCACCTGCAACTGTCTTATATTTGTGTACATTTGCAAGTGTTGTACCTGGCCCCGCCCCCCCCCCCATACCTGTATGAATTACCTGATCCCCACACTTGCTAGATTTGCTCTTCACACCTGCACAGTTATGCCTTACCTGGTCCCCCACACCTGTCCCTCACGTGAAAGCTCCACCGCATTGTCCCAACACCTGCTGGTCATTTGTGACTCGCAGGTGTGTTAGACGTAAAATACATCGTTCAAGATTGAAAAAAATGTCTTCTAATTCTGCACGTCATTTTATTGACATATTGCACTTTACAAATTTCAATATATATATATATATATATATATATATATATATATATATATATATATATATATATATATATATATATATATATATATATATATAGTTACTGATGAGTCAAGTCGGAATTCAGGTCTCTTAACATCATGAGTTCTTTAATATCTTTGTAATTTCTTATTAATTAATGCATCTTTGCAAAATTATTTGTTCATGACTGCACCTTTGCGACACAGTATAATGTGATGAATGTACCTGTGCAACATGCTGTTTTTTTCATCAAAGCTTGTTTGTAACGTAGTTTATTTTCGTCACATTAGCAACATAGTATTATATTTGCACTGCAACTGTTCATCATTGACCTTAGTTACACCTTATCAACATGCAATATGTTTAGGGCACTGCGTCATCACATTGTGTCAAGAGTTACACATATTGCACGAGGACACAAGAGAGCTGGAGAAGGAGGCGCGAGCGTCGGCACTCAGCCATCTTCCAGGCCGCAGACCTCGGGGGGCCGGCAGTTGGAGAAGGCGAAGGACCCATCGCTCCTGACGAGACCCCGGGAGAGGGTGCCCTCGTCGTCCATGTGTTCCCATCGCCGCAGCACCTTTGAGTTCCTCCCGCGGGGCCGCCGGAACGTCGTCTCGCGTAGAGTGTCGCCGTTTCTTCTCGAACTTGTCAGAGATCGATGTCCTGGCGTTAATGAGGCCGGAGGCTTCTGGTTGGGGTGTCTTATGAGAGAGACCCCGGCGTCGGGGGCGTCTGGCGTGATATGGAACACAACATTAGGATCGGGTCGTAAGATGGTTATGTCTTTATTGTCAGCTGATATGGTGCGGAGGGCCACGACCTCCCCGCGCTGCACGGAGAACCCGCGCATCACCTGGAGAGGAGTAACTTGGTCACCCGAGGGTGGGATCACGGTGATGCCTCTCTCCGTGCTACTAAGTATTGATTTTGGTGTGACGGTGCTTTGAGAGCCGCCCTGGCTCCCACCTGGCGCTGCACCTGTCCGACCCACTGTCGGCCTCGGCATCACTGTTCCAGTGTTCCCCAACAATTGAACATCAACAGCACCTGTGTTCTGCGCTGGAGAGCTATTTCTGCCAAAATTAGTACTTGGCAGAGGTATGCCTACCCCTGCTCCCGAGGGCTTATTTCCCTCGGTATTTTCTTCCCAGTTGTGACTAACTGTTCCCTGAGTACTGGCGTCCACACCAACTCTTCCTGGAGACGCTGTTTCCCCACGTCTTCTGCCCCCTGTTATCTGACTCTTCATATTGACTCCATCGCTGGCCATGCTCAGGGTGTCGAGTGTCGACTGTTGGGCGTCGAGTGTGGGCTGTTGCCCGTCACGATTTCGAATTCCACTGCCCAAGTTCCGGATGTTGCCACGCATACTGCCGAGGGGTCGTGTCTTATGACCACCAGCAGAGTTGAGGGCCCCGTTCTGCCCATCGTTGCCGGCTTGAATATTACGCTGGTTGCCATTACGCAAGTTCTGGATGTTGGTTCTTGTGGCGTCAGCGGGTCGTATCCCCTGGCCACCAGTAGTACCGCGGGCCACGTTCTGCCCGTCCTTACCGGCCTGCGTACTTGGCTGGTTACCATTGCCCAAGTTCTGGATGTTCGTTCTCATGGTGTCAGCGGGTCGTATCCCCTGGTCACCAATAGTCCCGAAGGCCCCATTCTTCCCGTTGTTGCCGGCCTGCGTATGACGCTGGTTGCCATTACGCGAGTTCTGGATATTGGTTCTCGTGGCGTCAGCGGGTCGTATCTCCTGGTTACCAATAGTCCCGAAGGCCCCATTCTGCCCGTTGTTGCCGGCCTGCGTATTACGCTGGTTGCCATTACGCGAGTTCTGGATGTTGGTTCTCAAGGTGTCAGCGAGTCGTATCCCCTGGCCACCAGTAGTACCGAGGGCCACGTTCTTGCCGGCCTGCGTACTGGGCTGGTTACCATTGCCCAAGTTCTGGATGTTGGTTCTCATGGCGTCAGCGGGTCGCATCTCCTGACCGCCGGCAGTGTCGAGGACCACCTTCTGTCTGTTAATACCACTTTGTGCCACGTGCTGGTTGCCATCACCAAGGCTGCGGACGCCTGCACTAGGGGATCTTGGGGCTGGAAGTTCCGCTAAAGTTTTGGGCCTGTTATTCCAGTTTGGAGTCTGCATGCCAACTCCACCGAGGTTGTCAACGTTTACGTTGCCTTGGTCGAAATTGCTAACGCTTCCAGTACTTCCGTCTGTTGCGGAGCTCCCTCCTACGCTACTGAAGACTCCGGCAGCTGCGTTATTAGTGCCCATCCCGGCGTTATCGAGTGCCTGTCTGCTGGCAGCTGCACCATTCAAGCTTTCTTCTGGACTGTTTCCTCTATTGTCAGTTCCAGCATTGAAAGTAGCATCAGGCATATTCACTCTGCTGCCACTTCCAGGATTGAAAGTAGCATCAGGCATATTCACTCTGCTGCCACTTCCAGCATTGAAAGTAGCATCAGGCATATTCACTCTGCTGCCACTTCCAGCAATGAAAGTAGCATCAGGCATATTCACTCTGCTGCCAGTTCCAGCATTGAAAGTAGCATCAGGCATATTCACTCTGCTGCCACTTCCAGGATTGAAAGTAGCATCAGGCATATTCACTCTGCTGCCACTTCCAGCATTGAAAGTAGCATCAGGCATATTCACTCTACTGCCACTTCCAGGATTGAAAGTAGCATCAGGCATATTCACTCTACTGCCAGTTCCAGCATTGAAAGTAGCATCAGGCATATTCACTCTACTACCAGTTCCAGCATTGAAAGTAGCATCGGGCATATTCACTCTACTACCAGTTCCAGCATTGAAAGTAGCATCGGGCATATTCACTCTACTGCCAGTTCCAGCATTGAAAGTAGCATCAGGCATATTCACTCTACTGCCAGTTCCAGCATTGAAAGTAGCATCAGGCATATTCACTCTACTACCAGTTCCAGCATTGAAAGTAGCATCAGGCATATTCACTCTACTGCCAGTTCCAGCATTGAAAGTAGCATCAGGCATATTCACTCTACTGCCAGTTCCAGCGTTGAAAGTAGCATCAGGCATATTCACTCTACTACCAGTTCCAGCGTTGAAAGTAGCATCGGGCATATTCACTCTACTGACAGTTTTAGAAATAAAATTCTCAGCTGGAATGTTACCTCCAGTACCGATTCCAGAACCTAAATTTTCACCAGGAATATTTCCACCATTGATGGTTCCAGAATTTAAATTTCCACCTGGAATATTATTATCACCATTTCTAATTCCAAAATGAAGGTTTCCCCTTGGAACATTTCCTCCATTTCCTATTCCAGAATTCCCACCTGGAATAATTCCATCACTACCTGCCCCAGAGTTGAGATGTCTACTGGGAGAGTTATTTATGTCTGATGTTCCAGTATTGACATTTCCATTAGCGACGCCAGCCCTGTTGCCCGCACCAAAACCTAAGCTTTCCCCTCCAGAGATGGCAGGCACGTGGGTGGGTGTTCCTGGATCGGTTGGCCTGATACCCGCTCCATTCTCCAAGTTCTGAATGTTGGTATTCAGAGCGTCGACGGGTACCATTTGTTGAGGGCCAGCAGTGTTGAGGTCCACGGTCTGCCTGTTGATGCTCACCTGAGTCATTCGCTGGTTGCCATTGCCTAAGTTGCGAATGTTTTTATTGACTGTTTCTCCAGAGTTAACGTTACCATTGCCAGTGTGCGAGTTGAATCCCATACCATTGACGGTCCCGCTGGCAGGATTTGGGTTCCTGCCAAATCCATTAGCCAGACTCTCCCTGGAGGGACTGCCAGCAGCAGCCACGCCTGCATTTCCAGTATCTCCTCCAGGTCCCACTGCTTCAGAATTCATATTGCCTCTACCGTTATTGAAATTCCCATTTGATGCAGAATTAATATTTCTTTGGTTGTTAACGGCTGTATTGGGAAAGTTGCTTTGTGGACTGTTGTTATTAATTCCCTGATTGTTATTGTTTTTATTAAGGAAATGTTGATCACCGCTTGGACTATCAGCGGTAGGGATGTTTCCTCCACCATTATTAAAGTTGTTAGGCACATTACTAGATGGCAAAGGTATGAAAGGGTTGGTGTCTTGGGAGAGGTCGCCACCGGTGGTTGGTTCGCCACGAGAAGTATCCAGACTCTTGCCGCTCCCCCCAGAGTTTTGAATGTCCTCGCCGAATACGGAGTTACTGAAGGGGTTGACATTGTCATCTGGGCCGGGGCTTCCTCCTGCTCCTACTCTGGTCGTAGGTACATCAGCCACACCACCTGAAGGAGCGCGATGTCCCTGCCCTGTCGGCCCACTCTGTACTACAGAAGGGCGTCGTGGCGTGCCATTGTTTCCAGGGTTACTCTGGTCCAGGGGTACGAAGTTCACTGTCCTGAGGGGATCTGTAGCCCCTTGAGGGAGGCCTGGCAAAGACACGCCTGCCCCCACTGGGAACACCCCCGCCGTGTTGATGTTTGAAGGCCCACCTTCATCTGTGTAGTCGTAGTCTATAGTAGGACCCGGGCGGTTAGCACGGTTGCCGGAGCCTCTCCCGCGCGATGAACGATTCAGTTCTCTCCCTGTGGAGAGGTTGTTGAGGTTCCGCGTCGGCGTGTTGGCGGCGCCTGTCGACTCCTCCGCCTGGCTGTGCCCGAAGCCCAGCCAGCCATTCTGCTGACACAGTACCACGCCTACTATTATGGCCACCACGAACTGCAAAGAGACAATGATCATGGTAACTTTTCAGGCTCTAGACCCCAGGTTCTCTCACACAGTGTTGTGCCTGTAGCTCACATCGTCTCTTTACCAAGTAAAATCATTACAAAATAAAAATGTTAGCATTTCAAATACACAATATATACATTTATAGCTCAAAAATGTGGTTTAACTCGGCATTGTAAACTACTACAACGATATAAGCCTCCTTTACTCTTTATTAATGAGAACTATACATCTCATTATGTAAACTCTCGTAATGTATACTTTATTATTCACTCTCATAAGCCGCATTATTATTTAAAGCCAAGTATACAGTATACATGCGTATAATTATGTAAGTAATGTTTGGTGAGGTGCAGATGGATGTGTGTGTGTGTGTGGAGGCGGTGTGAGCCTGACGGCAAGACTGGCAGCAACTGACCAGTAGGGTGTAGCAGCCGATGAGCATGACGGTCTGCAGGTTGAACCTCTGCTTGCGGGCCTCATCCTTGTACCTGGCGCGATGGATGTGCATGTAATAGTCCTGCTCCGTGTCCTGGGCCAAGGTCAAGTTGCTGCCGTGGGGGTCCCGCGTCCGGGAGAGGCTGCTTGTTCTGGGGGAGAGACCGCACCGTCATGAGAAAGTGAGAGGCGGTGTGGGGGGGTAGGTGCATGAAGGACGGGGGGGGAGAGGGGGTTGAGAGAGAGTGTGGGAAGAGAGAGAGTGAGGAGGTTTGGAATGGATAAGTGAGAATGAGAGCCGTACTACACAATACGATACTAGTAGTGAGCGGTGGAGAGACGTACGAAGCCGTGCATTCACCTAGTTGTGCTTGCGGGGGTTGAGCTGTGCTCTTTGGGCCCGCCTCTCAACTGTTTCTACTACTACTACTTGTTTTTCCACACACACACACTCACGTACACGCACACCCCAGGAAGCAGCCCGTGACAGCTGACTAACTCCTAGGTACCCATTTAATGCTAGGTAACAGGGGCATAGAGTGAAAGAAACTCTGCCCATCGTTTCTCCCCGGCGCCCGGGATCGAACCCGGTACCACAGGATCACGTGTCCAGCGTGTTGCCCGCTCGGCCCCCGGCTCCCTTGGTGCACCGTGTGATGCACCAAGAGTGAGAGAGATCACACGAGGGGAAAGCACAAGCCCAGTAGTAAGAAGAGTGATGCAGCAACACAAGGTAACATGAAACAGTTCACAGTAGTAGTTGATCACCAGACACTTGCTCCTCTGCCTCCAGGAGCGTCTACTGTTGCCGATATATCCACTGAGCAAGAGTGGCGTACTCCAAAAGGTACTCCAAAATGACAAGAGGTCAATAGGGGTAACAGATAACGCAGTGAGGCGGTAACCGCTGAGGAACAGTCAGCTTGGACATCACTACTGAGGAACAGTCAGCTTGGACATCACTACTGAGGAACAGTCAGCTTGGACATCACTACTGGGAAACAGTCAGCTTGGACATCACTAATGAGGAACAGTCAGTTTGGACATCACTACTGGGAAACAGTCAGCTTGGACATCACTACTGAGGAACAGTCAGCTTGGACATCACTACTGAGGAACAGTCAGCTTGGACATCACTACTGAGGAACAGTCAGCTCGGACATCACAAATGAGGAACAGTCAGCTTGGGCATCACAACTGGGAAACAGTCAGCTTGGACATCACAACTGAGGAACAGTCAGCTTGGACATCACAACTGAGGAACAGTCAGCTTGGACATCACTACTGGGAAACAGTCAGCTTGGACATCACAACTGAGGAACAGTGTACCTGAGGCAGCACAACTAATGAAGCAATAAGCGAGGCAGTACAAGTCCTGAAGCAAGAGGCGCCACAGAAGCTGCAGCACCTGGCACTACTCCACATAAATTGTTTCTCACTTATATTGACACAAGCGTTAACACACGCATTGATACAAGTGTTGACACAGGTATTGGCACTGTTATCGGCACATGCACTAATTGTTACTGCTGTTAGAACATATACTGGCACTCGTTAGAACATATACTGGCACTCGTTAGAACATATACTGGCACTCGTTAGAACATATACTGGCACTATTGTTGACACACGTATCGGCACAACTGAGACAATTATCACGAGAGCCACATAAGGACTGGCAGTGGCACACAAGGTGGTGAGCGTACCTGCTGTTATGGTGGGTGCGGGGCAGGGCGGTCAAGAGGTCTGGCTCTCTGTGTACGGAGCCGCTGTGGTGGCTGGGTAGACTGGCAGCGCGGGTCTCCAGCAGCGCCGCCAGCACCCCATTGTAGTCAGCGCGTGACCCGGTTGAGCCGCGTCTGTCGTGGCGGTGGTGCAGGTGGGCGTCCACGTCTGGGAGAATGGAGACCTCGTTGGGACGTGACAGCGTGCTGCTTCGACTCCCAGGCAGCGAGTGCGATCGCTCGCTAAGTTTGGCCAGGGCGCTCGCTACCTTGGCTTGCTTGATCTCCGCATCTCTGATCTCCCTAGACCCGCTGTCCCGCGAGTGGTGAGAGTGATGGGAGTGGTGAGAGTGGTCTCGCGAGTGGTGAATGTGGTCCCGCGAGTGGTGAATGTGGTCCCGCGAGTGGTCCCGCGAGTGGCGGGTATGGGAGGACTTGCTGGGGTTGCGGGATCGGTTGTGCGAGACACGGAGGGGGTGTGTCCTGAGGAGCGAGGAGCCCGGCACGTGGTCATGTATGTGGCACATGTGGCACCCGCCGCCGCTGGACCCCTCAGGCATCGTGTACCGGACCTCACACTCCCTCTATGACATGGTTCACGCCCCCACGCCGCCACACTCCTCCACCAACACCGCTTCCCTCCTGCCAACAAAAAATATAATTATTAATCACAAGAGATAAGTATCGTTACATATGATAGTAAATATTAGTAATCACAGAAGGGTGTAGTTACATTATTAAGTACAGTGTTGCTAACTACAGATACCGATTACTATAGCAAAATGTGTAATGGGCTGCCTATTTATTTCAGGGTAACTGTTGCCACTTAATAGGTAAACTGTGTTTCTTGTAGTTGTGGGGTTCACGTCGCCATAACTCTGGTCCCCGAGGCCGACCTCCGTCACGCGCTGTGTGACGACACTCAGAAGGTAACCTTACATGCGTCACATTTTACTGGCAATGTTACCTGCGTGACCTCTCCCTTCTCCAAGTCACCTACGTGACCTCTCCCTCCTCCAGGTCACCTGCGTGACCTCTCCCTCCACCAGGTCACCCTACAAGCACTGTGACACATCTCCAACAATATAATTGACCCAACATGTGGAACTAGTTGTTCATTTCATGCCCGAAGTTTTATTATTACTTGTGCGCTGAGGGCCAACCTTTGACCAGCTGGCTGAGGGCCAACCTTTGACCAGCTGGCTGAGGGCCAACCTTTGACCAGCTGGCTGAGGGCCACCTGTGACCTCCCCACCTTCAGCCAAGCTTTACATAAGCAGGCAAAACACAGGGGCAGATAGAGCCATTACCCGCACACTTCCGTCACCTCTAAATGTCAGAAGCCAAAACACTTTGTTATATGTTAAAGACTATTAAGATAAATGGACAATTAGTTTTTGCTACGAAAAACCTGCAGGTGCATTAAAGGCTATCTGTGGCTCGTGGTGTAATGTACGTGGGTGTAGTAACCAGGCGAGGGGGCGGGCAAGAGGCCCCTCGCTGACAGAGGTCAGCAGCTGGTTGTGTCTAACTGTGGTTTATGAGTTATGTAAAACTACTGTGGAAATGACGCCCAATTATTTACTTGTTGGCAACCGCAGCACTATTTTGAGAGCCTCTATTTTTCCCCTCTTACTCCATATACTTTCACTCTTGTTATTTGGTGTTTGAAGGTAACAAGACAGGCTATAACTTGCGCACACACACACACACACACGTGTGTGTGCGCGCACGTGTGTGTGTGTACGCGAGCGTGTGTGTGTGTGTGTGTGATTGTGCGCGTGTATTTGCGTAACGTCTCACAGAAAACGGCATTCGCTTCACAATGGGCATAGCCATCGTAGAGGTTAGATATATATAATATTGTACACTTTAAAAGTATTAGAGGGACATGTCCCCAACCTCTACACGGAAATAACTCCACGTGAAGCCAGGAACCATGGTAGGATGTGCAAAATAACGCCGTTGGAAAGCAATAGGAGCACTAGGTACACTGAGAGAGAGAGAGAGAGAAACTATCAACATTCAACATTAAAGGACCTAGACCTTTCAACACACTCCTTCTACACGTCAGGGACATAACTGGCCGGTGTTCAACACCTCTCACGGTGTTCAAAATAGAACTTAATAAACACCAAAGGATACCTGATCAACCAGACTGGGATTTATACGTCAGGCTTCGAGTATCTGTGTCCAGCAGCCTAGTTGACTACGCCACCAACCAGGAGGTCTTGTCAGAGATTGGACCGCAGGGACATTGATTCCCGGAACCAACAATATGTAATGTAAAAGAGACCGCGAGGAGTGTGAGGGTGAGGAGAGTGAGGGTGAGGAGTGTGAGTGTGAGGAGTGTGAGGGTGAGGAGAGTGAGGGTGAGGAGTGTGAGTGTGAGGAGTGTGAGGGTGAGGAGAGTGAGGGGTGAGGGTATAAGAGGAGTGGAAGTGTTGGCCCATATGAGCGAGGGAGGCGGCCTCGTGACATTTTAGACCAGAGCTGCAATAATTCCCCTGGACGAATAGTGTTTGTATTTGAGCTGACTTTCTTATGTCAGGGCACGGGAGAGTTTCAGGGCACGTGAGGGTGCCAGGGTAGGAGAGGGTGCCAGGGCACGAGAGGGTGCCAGGGCACGAGAGGGTGCCAGGGTACGAGAGGGCGCCAAGGTGTCATCACGCTCAATATACAAATAGGCTGCGCTAGAGTGCGTTAAGCCCCGCAGTTTTTTACACTGTATTAGAACCGTTCAAATTTGTTTGGGAGCAAACACAACATGAAAGAAAGTGAAACGTAGCGGCGCTGGAGTTCAATGAGTCACATTCAATTTTGTTCATGTCGTTTGATTATGCCACAGGTGTGTGTGTGTGTGTGTGTATTCACCTAGTTGTGTTTGCGGGGTTGAGCTTTGCTCTTTCGGCCCACACACACACGTGTGTGTGTGTGCGGGCGGGCGTGCGTGCCGTGTGTTTGTTTTTATTCATCAGAGCACAAGCACCACAGCATACAAGAAGGTGTCTAACATCTCCCTAAAACAAAAACAAAAAAAACAGGCCGCTGAAGCCCATTTTTAATAACTTTGAGGCCGTGTTGGGAGGCCGTGTTCCAAACAACAGTGCCCCAGCATCCAGGTGGTTGCATCAACTAGAAGCTGGGCACACGCCCCTTACCCTCCAGGGTAAAAACAGGAAGCTGGATTCATGCTTCAGGTTTGACCGGGCAGCTTTTGGACATGACTCTCAAGTCGAGCCCAGTGACCTGACCAGCCTGGACATGCCCCACAAGCCCAGGCAAGTGACCTCACCAACATCTACTGCAGAAACAAATAACAGGAACGCTGACTCACGAAAATGGATAATTGACTGATGGCATCACCTGATGTCGACATAATTTAGAGATTCGGAAAATTGGCTGAGGTAATAATTTATATATTTTATATATATCTTTTCAGTTGATATCTGACTGTGGCAAGAGCATTGACTGAGGAACTTAACCCGCTGATTAAAGTGCACTTTTCTCAGCCTCTTCACAATGTTCATGTCGTTACTTCAAGTCAATTTTGTTCAACGGTTGTTAAAGTTATTAAGTGTTGGCAAATTTCGTAGAAGGAAAACATTTAGTTGTTGAAAAGATTGCTCTAAAATGGTCTCCATGTATAACATATCAGTATTGTTGAGAGGCGTGAGAGTATGAGTATATGGGAGAGTATGAGGGAGTGTGAGGGTGAGAGTATGAGGGAGTGTGAGAGTGAGAGTATGAGGGAGTGTGAGGGTGAGAGCACGAAGGAGTGTGAGAGTGAGAGCATGAGGGAGTGTGAGGGTGAGAGCACGAAGGAGTGTGAGAGTGAGAGCATGAAGGAAGAGACTCTACCCCCATCCGGCTTAGACAGTAGGAGACGCTAAACTAGTTATTAAGGTAAAAAAATCCCATGTTTGTCATCCGGCAACATCCGGATGTGTGTGCGTGTGTGTGTGTGTGTGTGTGTGTGTGTGTGTGTGTGTGTGTGTGTGTGTGTGTGTGTGTGTGTGTGTGTGTGTGTGTGTGTGCGTGTGCTACTCTGACCCTGTTGTGAGTCCCAGAGACCTGGCAACCCAAAGCCATAACCAGGGTCCAACAGCTGAGCGGAATAACTGACCGGCAAGGACTCCTTGACAGCCGACTTGAATCACAGCATCTGTCTCTTATTAGAAAACTGGCATATAATTATCACTACCCTGCACACTGCACAATGGTGATCACTTTAATCAGCCTTGCGAATGTAACAGTGGATTTGATTTGCACAGTTCCGTTTGTGTTAAACAGTGGCGCGTAACCTGTGGAACCTTGACGGACGAGGGGCCACTGAGATGAGGATATACTTAACACGGAGAAGAGACATAAATTGAGGAAGAGCTAAGAGGTATAACTGAACGAATAGACGAGACAACAACTGGTCAGAAGTCTAGAGACATATCAACTAAGAAAGAGCTAACCCTGGAAACACAAACTGTAACTGTCTCTATTTTCCGCTTGTTACAACTTGTAATAAAGTTGTTACATCTTGGCTTAACGGGTTTATGTCGCATTAGAACGTTGTTACAACTTGCTATATTGGTTGTTATAACTGGTTAGGAGGTCTTAAAACTTGTTCGAACGTTGTACCAGCGTCGAAGTTTCGGTGTGTGTTTTGCGGGAAAAGGCATCAAGTGAGGAGATAAGAGTAATCAGCCGAGAGAGTGGGATGAGGCACAAACTTACTGTGTAACACCTCGACCATAAAGCTGGTCAGGTGGAGAATTGCTTCAGACACGCATTTAATGTTCTTAAGGAAGGGCGCTCGTGCACGGAGCCTTAACACTGATAACGTGAAGAAAAACTTGGAATCCAGATGTTTCATGTTAGGTGCCGACATTTATCGCGGTCCATGAAGTCTCACTAAGCTAGTTTATATCTCCTGCGGAGGTCGTAAACCTACTTCGGAAACTCTTCGAAAAATATGGTTGATGCATCAAAGAAAACATTTGATCTCGGGTCCAGTAAACAGATGAACATTGAGACATATAAACATCGAGGGCTTTACCCAGCTTCTCAATGGACATACACATAGTTTACTTTAGTTGTAAATTATATCCATGACTTGTACTTGCTAACTGGACAGTATAGTCTCGTGGCGGCCTCATGCAGTTACTCCACAAGAGGTTGATGAGCCACAAGCCAAACCCAGAGCTAAATGAGAGCGACGTGGCTGTGTATGATGGCACTTTCACTTGCACTCTCGCTGTGTCCTGTTATCGCCCCTCACTAAGTCACTGCAGCTTCCATAAAAACTGGTCTAAGAGAAGCCGCCCAGTCGCTAGTTCACTTCCCAGATGCTGCCTCTCAACCCCTGACGCCACTACTGCGCCACACCTCGCATTACCCAGTTCGCGGACCTGTACCCAATTATCAGTTATATATGTTGACATTTTTTCGCGAGTGAATATAAAAAGTGGAGGAGCAGAGGAGTCGCGGTGCACTTTTGGCGCCATTACCACCGACGTCACTCCAGTTATGAGTTAAATGATCCAGTTATGTTGTGACGTCGCTAGGGGTCAACAAGGGTCGCTAGGGGTCAACAAGGGTTGCTAGGGGTCAACAAGGGTCGCTAGGGGTCAACAAGGGTCGCTAGGGGT